GGGCCATGGGCATGTGATTATGTGGGGCCCAAGTCCAAGCGCCTCAACCAAGAATTCGACGAGGGCAGCAGACAAAGCCTCTGCTTATAGATTGTTATTGAACTCCTCAAACAAGTTATGTAAAAGGTAACGCGCACACTTACTATCTTAAAGTAAGTATGTAAATTTTCGCGTGGCCTAAAAACATAACAGTTCAAACTTAGCTCGCAAAAACCCAAACATCTCAAACGTAAAAACGGCTGTCAGTTCACATGTGGGTTGAATCGACTGATGAGAAACTGCGCACTCGGAAATCTTTTTCGCTGGTGGCAAACACGGGGATATGTCATCCAACAAGCCTATGCTTAGGCTATTTCATCGCTTTGCTTCGCAGAGAAAATGCTTTGTTGGATTTGTAGACTGCTTTTCACCAAGTCCTCTGCTTCAAGGGTCTGACCCCCCCAATTTTTGGGTGGGAACGACAAAGTGGAGTGGGGAGGGTGCAAAAATTGGACTTTCACGGATGATGGTCTCCCACCCACCCACCGCTTGAAATGATAAACATTCGCATGAAATAAATTCAGGTATCGTGTCTTCAAATGTGATCTTCAAAATTGACATCACATGATTGAAACTGCTTCTGTTTCACGTTTGGAAAACTTAAATGGCATTCACTTCTAAGGTGGCATGCATATGCTACCAAAGTATAAAACTGAACACCGTTGTGATTCCAAACAAACTCATTTAAAGATTGGTTTTTCCTGTGACCCTTCAAAACAAAGGTTTGTAAAACACAGTGTTTGCTTCACACTTGTTAGTGTCGTACAAACGGTTGTTGAGGTCAGAGGAAGGAACATAAAACCGCGGAGGTATTGTTGACGCTTTGCTTATTTTCTTTTGTTTGGTTTGAGGAGAGGGGATCTTATCCCCAATTCAAAAGTCAATCTATAAACACCTATTGGCAAGCCAACAGAGATCTTATAGATTGTTATTGAACTCCTCAAACAAGTTATGTAAAAGGTAACGCGCACACTTACTATCTTAAAGTAAGTATGTAAATTTTCGCGTGGCCTAAAAACATAACAGTTCAAACTTAGCTCGCAAAAACCCAAACATCTCAAACGTAAAAACGGCTGTCAGTTCACATGTGGGTTGAATCGACTGATGAGAAACTGCGCACTCGGAAATCTTTTTCGCTGGTGGCAAACACGGGGATATGTCATCCAACAAGCCTATGCTTAGGCTATTTCATCGCTTTGCTTCGCAGAGAAAATGCTTTGTTGGATTTGTAGACTGCTTTTCACCAAGTCCTCTGCTTCAAGGTCTTTGGTTAAGTCTGACCCCGGTTCGCTTCAGCTTTTAAACTTCGTAGAGCCTTTCCTGTAACTGGACAGCATGGAAAACAAATATCAAACGGTTGCAAGAAATCAATCTCATCCCATCGACCCCTTGAAGGTGGGTCTGCCACGTTGCTTGAAGATGGAACCCTCGCCATCCACACTAAGTTGTCTGCTTCACTGTCCAGTGTCTCGATTTCTAAAAGCATCTGCCTCCAAAGCTTAAGTGACGAAGTGCCTTTGATGTAAACATCAATAGCCGTCCAGTTGTCGCAGAAAATGATTACCCTTCGTCCTTTCAAAAGCTGTTGCCATTGTTTCAACGCCACAACGATTCCATACAACTCTGTAAGTCCTACGGGGTGTACCAACTCTTGTAACCAACCACGCAGGACACTCTCATCCACATGAGAACCAAAAGTCTGGGTTTGTCCATCTGCAAAAATTACTCCACCAACGGTGGCCTCCACCTGGCCATCTGATCCTGTCTCGACTGCCCCATCTGTGAAAACTAAAACCGGTCGCTGAGGTTCATCAGCCACTAGTCGCTTTGGTCGTCCTGCATCAATGCGGGCAAGCAAAATCTCGAAGGCTTCGCGTGAGGTTTCATCAAGAGGGGCAGCTTCCTTTGAATTGCCATGCTTTTCCCAGTCTCTGATGTCTGCCATTGCAAGCTTGCCATGTCTGCCAGCAATGCGCATCTCGGCATATTGAACCCTGCCTAAAATGGCTGGTAGCCGGTCTGCTTCAAGCACCCCACACTGTAGGATCTTTTGGAGTTCCGCGACTAGGTCTTGTTTTCTAGATTCCTTATTGTCAACTTTTATCACACCCCTCTCTGCAGTATCAACCAAAACACCAAGCATTTCCGTTGACGTTGAGAAAGGCGCCAACTTGTCACTTGCAAACTTGAAACCCAAAAGTTGAAATAGGCCCTCCACACAAGCTTGCGTCGATCCAACCTGGCTGCAATGGGCAACGCAAGGAAAATCGTCAAAATAATTTGACCACCACAAATTTAACTCGAGGCCCAACCTCCACAGTAACCTTGCAGTGCGATTGAAATGTAATACACTGGCCACACTTCCAAATGGCAGTGTCCTCATCAAGAAGCAGGCAGGACGCTGAGTTTTCGGATCTCTCAGCACCACTACAGTACAGTCATATTCCGTTGGGTGTAGCGCCAGTTGCTTGTAAGCGCTTTCTAAGTCGAAAGCTGTCGTCACAAGTTTTGGGTCCAGTCCCTTCCAAGCTGCATTTACCGCTGCCCTCAGTCGGCTTCCATCGCTCAAACAAAAGTCTAAATTGCCACCATGAATGCAGAATTTAGTGATGATCTGTAGACACCACACCGTGTGATCAAGAGCATGAAGATCAATCTTCTCGCCGCTGCTGAAGGATTGGTTCAGTCTGTTCTCCTTCATGTCGTCGATCGGCCGTACCTTGCCTTTCTGAAAAACTGAAAACCGTCTGACCGGCAACCATCTGTCGAACATTGCATCCACTTCAGAAACCGAATATGGTCCTTCAAGCCAGTTCTTCTCCACTGCTTCTTTGACAGTGATCCCAAACAATTCTTCTGCATGTTCATCGGCATGTAGAGGTGATGCCACCTTCCCAAGAAGAAGCGGTTTGAGAAATTTTGCATCCTGCATCAATTGTTCTTTATTGAACAGGCCTGGCTTCAAGTCTGTCTTGAAAACTCCCGACAGTGCAGCGTAACCAGTCAGTTTGAAACCATCTCGCAGTTCTTGATGCAGCTGCTTGTCAGGCCAGTTGATATGTGTCGCCAGTTTTTCCAGCAGCAAAAGTTTCTTGCCCTTTAAAACGTTGGCCACCTTGCCATGCAGTTTATCATGCAACTTCTGTTCATCGCTTCTAAGTTCTTTTTCCCATTCAGTCCAAAGTTGAAGGGTTTGAATCCGTTGTTTTGTCATTTCTACTGGCCCCATACTTAGACAGTTGAACAGGCATCTAATGAGGCAGTCTGGCAAATTTCGTAGTTCGTCAAAAGGATGCCATAGCTGCTTTGCCACGCTGACAAATTGCTGCATGCTCCGAAAAAATCCAAAAACAAATAAATGCGTTTGTGCTCGTCCCTTTGTAAATTAAATTTCTTATTCAAACAAACGTAAAACTCAAAACGCCACGCAAATCGCTCGAAGGTCGGACATGTATTTAATATTTCTTTTTGTCTTTGCTTATCTTAATTGAGTCGGGGGTGAAACCGCACAAACACAAGTCAAGTGTCTGGTAACTGTTTCAGGTCAACAAGTCATGTCGCCTGTCACCCCCCCACAAGATAAGGGAGGGAAAACGAAGTTTGGGAGGGGATAGAAAAATCGAACGGGTCAAGTGCAACCCACCCTCCACACCCTAGCCAAAATTGCGCGGAACATAAAATCAAAATGTTCGCAACAGAGCAAAAGGTGAGAAGACTGACATCAATCTGATCTAAATAAAAAGTGAGAAGTAAAGATCATCCTTCAAACAACAGTGACAGATGTAAATGTCACAACATGATAATAAACAGAAGTTGTTTGGAAACTTCAGTTGGTTTCCAGCATTCAGCCAGGAGCATCTGCCGCCGCACAAGTGCGGAATGGAAAAGGCGTCCAACTACGGAAGTTTCAGCAGATTTCACCGCACTTCCACACATCTTAAAATAGCTTGAACAATTTGAACATGTTTAACATCTTCAACTCTTCACAGGAGGATCAGCTATATTTGCTTGACTCTGAAAGCTGAGCTGAAAACACCGCCAGGCTCACCAACACCGTCAGTTGGTTTTCAGTTCATCAGATTTTTCTTTTTTTGTTACAGGCGGTACGTTCGCAAGCTCACTACTCCCAACAAACAAAGGCCACAACAAGTTGAAGCCAAACGTTTGTGCTCGTCCCTTTGTAAATTAAATTTCTTATTCAAACAAACGTAAAACTCAAAACGCCACGCAAATCGCTCGAAGGTCGGACATGTATTTAATATTTCTTTTTGTCTTTGCTTATCTTAATTGAGTCGGGGGTGAAACCGCACAAACACAAGTCAAGTGTCTGGTAACTGTTTCAGGTCAACAAGTCATGTCGCCTGTCACCCCCGTTTTTTTTTTCGACATGTAAAGAGCTTCACTTTCTTGTAACTTCCAAGAGCATTGTTTCAGGCAAGCATATATCGCCTGCAAGGTTTCCTCCCGAGATTGCCTCGTTGTCAACGAAGTACAGTGCTGAAGAATTGGAAAGTTCATTGCGGTAAAAATACCTCACAAGCAAAACTGCAACCAACTCAATTTGACAAATTTTCTGCTGAAGTCCAATAGATGTCCAGTGCTCCATCAGGACTGGTGGGATGGTTCCCCAGTGAATTGCATTAATGCCAAGTTGAGGGATTATGACAACTGCACCCCAGGTTCCATTCCCATTCTCGTACGCACCGTCCGTGTAAATCACTGCCGGACGATCGCTGCTCAGGAAGCGAATTTCTCGTGGTCGCATTCGGTTAATGATCCTGCATGTATCATTGCACAAGCGCGATATGAGCTCTGTATCTGATGAACCTGACTGCAAACTTGCAAACTGTCTGGCGGCAGGCTTCAAACAACGTCCAACCACAAAGCCACCAGCATAATTCAGCAATCCATGCATAGTCGCCGCCTCGGGTGCAGACACAGTACCCTTGGCAGCGTATGATTCAAGCATCTCCAAAATCCTCTGTATCCGACTTGGGCGGTTCGCCACTGTCACTTGTTTGTTCCAAAAGTTCTGCAAGTGGAATGCTACTCCCAACACCTGCATGGTGTCAGAAAAATCAACACTCTTTTTACCAGTCGTAGCATGCTTCCACCCAAGCAAATCCAAAAGGTGCTGCACCACGTTCGTAGTTGTTGCCGCCAAAGGTTCAAACTCAATAACAGGAAAATCATCATAAAATACAGTGGTAAGGAGGTGAAATTTTCGAACCATCAAAGTCCAGATACCGCGCGTGATCTTGTTGAATGCAAAAACGCTGGACGTGGCTCCAAAAGGCAGTGACTTCGATATAAAGAACTTCCATTCGCCAGATTCACTTCGCACTCCCAAAACGCTATGTCTAGCAGACTGAGGAGCAACACTGACCTGCTTGTACGCCTTGCTCAAGTCGATGCCCCTGCCCAGCAGCAAAGGCTTTCGGTCGTAGTCAGGGTGCCTTCGACCAGTGAGGTGGTCACCTGAAGAAAGTTCGATGTCGATATGTGGATCTCCGCAGAAAACACCCAAAGCAAACGCAAGAAAGCAACTGATTACGTCGGTGTCGTGCAGGTCAAGGTGCGACGATGTTCCAAAGGCCGCATTCACTCCCGGCGTTTTGTAGTTGTCAATCACTCTAGGTTTAAGGTCTTCACCTTGCAAAAGAAGGAACCGTTGGGACATTGACCAGTCCGCACGCCCAAGCCTTTCTGTTATATCAGACTCCAAAAAGGGACCATCCAGAAAACCAGCAGATACCTCTTTCATAGTTTCTTCCATAAGCAGTTTTGCAAGCCCACGTTCTTCGTCAGTAAAGGCTTTGCCCATAAGGGCTTTTCGTCGCCACAAAGCACTGTGGTCCAACTGTTCGGTTGTCATTGTAGGTGGAGCCCATCGTTGTTTGTACAAAGCGCTTTCGTCTTCCCAGCCAGTCAGGGGAACTCCTTCGCGCATATAGCGCACAACCTCCATGTCTTCGAACCCAACCTGGGTCAGCAGTTTTTCCCAAAGTTCAATGCGTTTTGCCTTGGTCACCTCCGCCACGTTCTTGTCCATTTTGACTTTCGCCAGTTTCTCCGCAAGAGCCAGTCGCTTTGCAATTTCAACACATTCTCCCAGCTTGCTGATGCGGAACAGGGCAACATCTGCCATCGAGTGTGTTGCCACAAAGAAAATAGCTTTCTTCAAATCATCTGGTACACCCTTGTGCGTAAATGCAGGGTGCTGCAATTCTAAAGAACGCTTGAGGTGATCATGATGGTTGAAATAAATGCCAACCTTGTAGCTTTCAGCTGACCTCTCGCTGTCGTCTCCCCCGTGTCCCAAGCGAGCCAAAATTTTGTGTGGCAGTTGAGGGAGTACCGTAGTGACAATAATTTGGGAAAATTCAGGGATCAATTGGTCATGACCTTTGGCTTGAATGGATTGGGCCATTAAAGATTGCAGTCGAAAAAATTTTGAGTTATACTCCAGTGCATTAGCAGCGACCATTGTACTTGCACATTCAGCATATCGATCACAGAACATTGAAGGATATTGAGCTTCCGCTGCAGTAGAAAAAATCCACTTATCAAATCCACTGACAATTGTCCATGGCTCATGGTTGTGGGACTTGTCGCACATAATCCCCAGTGGCTCAAACTGTCGGGTCGACACCAGCAACTTGGTTGACTTGGCACGGTTTCCTCCGTGCATGCAAAAATCAAATTCCACGGGGTGAAAACAAAAATACCACTCAGCAAATTCAGGGCACTTGTGTTCGCGTGCATATTGCTTGACCAGTGTTGCAAGTACTGTCCATAACCACGATCGTAAAGGATTTTCCAGTGTAATGAATGCTCCAACACGAAAAAGTGCATGCAACAAGCGCACAGCATGTCTATAAACAGTATTTGCAGCGTCAACTCTCTGCTGGTTCAGAGTGCTCAAATTTGGCAGGCCAAGTGGATGCAACGCGTCACGGAGTGGCGCAGGTTGAGGTGCTCCTTGAGAGCGTAATGCATGTGCAACCGGCACTTCTCGTGCTCGGCTGCAAGTTCCACACATAAGCCCAAAATGGGCTCCTACCGGCTTCATCTGTTCGATCATGCCTTCAAGGAGTGAAATATTCTCATGCAATGACAAATCCAACTCAAAAATGTGCATCTTGTTTTTGAAACGATTTGCATGATAGTCAATCGGAAAAACTTGCCAGCCCATGCGTTGCATTGATGCAGAGAGCGCAGCTGAGCCCGCACAGATTTCCAAAAAGACTATTGGTTTGTCTGCATGAGGGTGAGAAATTGTATTGTCTTGTTTCGGCTCACCAAGTCAGTGCTTACACTCAATGTAAGGTCGCTTCTCTGTGCAACCCTTGTAGTAACATTGGTGAAGCCCCAAATGACAACGTGCTTTCTTCTGATGTTTGCAAATCCCTCTGTTGTAGAAAACACACAGCCATTGACCGTTCGGCAGCTTGCTGGCGCAGCCGTCTGGCATGTTGGTGAGCATCTCTTTGATAGTGGGCCCAGAGCTGGGACCTGACGCAGCACCTTTCGACTGAAATTTGTTCTTCCCTTTGCCTTTGCCGGATCCACTGCTCTGTTCCGCTCGACTGTATGGCTCGGAACGATGTCCTGAAGGCGCTTCAGCGCGCACTGATGGCAATGGAGTCATGAAGCAAAGAACTTCAGGAGACCTCATGTAATTTTTCAATTGCTCATCCAAAGGTGGTTTCTCACCTATGCCAGAAATCAACTTGCCACGGGTTTGCTGTGAGATGTGCATCCACAGTTGCTTGTCAGCACTCAAGATCTGCTGTGTCGTGACATACTTGTGTCCAGCTGGAGGCGGCCGCAACAACGCAGCAAACATCTGTTGATTCCACTCTTCAATCAAATCAAAGGTCACCAAATTGGTCTGATGCATGGCCAAAGATCGGCGTGTAAATGCCGCACGTAGTCTAAGCTCGCCCGAAACATCACATTGCAAGTCCTGAGCCTTCTTGGTGACTTTGAGACCTCCAGCATGGTCAATGCTCAGCGCTGACTCTTTCTTTTCCTTGGTAATTTCTTCTTCTCGTGACATGCACTTCTCAGGTCCTACATAAAGCAAGCAACCATCCTCGATCATGTTTTGAAACTTGTCAACCAATCCATGACTTGGTTCGACTGACGCGTCGATGATCAGGCCTTTCAATTCCTTTTTCTGTTTGTCAATCCTAGCAAGTCTCTCTGCAAGTGGCATTTTCCTAGGCTGGTCAGCCTCAGTTCTTTCTGTTCTGCTACGTATGTCAGAGAGCACCATGGCATGCGCTTCAAACCACAGCCTACGAAGTGGAATCATTTCAGCTGGGGCAACCTCGACCAAAATCAAATCTTGGACTGCTTTCTTGAACTTCTCTTCAGTGTTTGAAGTTGGCGTTGCATCACTTGAAAAAGCAAGGCTCCCAAACGTGTCCAACCCAGCTCCCTTGAGCTTCTCTAGCAGGTCCTCTTGCATCCCTACTTCCAGCGCACGTGAGCTGAAAGCATGTTTCGAATCAAGTCCGGACATGGCTGCACTTTCGACCAGCCGTCGCTGAGTGATACAGTTTTATTGTTATCTTGCAAAAGATTGTCAAGTCAAGAGCGAAACGTCCACTAAAGTGAGTTATTGATTTGAAAATCAACGCATGAAAAACAGTGTTCAACAAGATCGAAATTGAAACGCAATGTTTCTTCATAAGTTGAACCACAGTCGTGAACCTTCAAACATGTGTCATTGATGCAATGAAATTCACACTGCAAGAAAACATACATTCATGAAGCTGTTCACTGTTTTTCAAAGGCTCCGACAGTTGTGCATCGGATCATTGGTGCGCAAGTCATGCGCTGACTCTGAGCAATTCACGCATCAGGTCGATGAAATTCAATTTCATGTTGTGCAAGTCACCACAAAGGAATTCAATTCACTCATTCCCTGTGTTGTCAGCTAAATTCATGCTGCAACAAATTGAAGTCAAGTCAAGCTGGGTAATGCAACAGCGAGATTCAAAAATCATACCAGCCAATGCATTGCCAGTAAGCAAGATTCGACATGTTTGCTGAACAGATTCCCGCCTTGTTTGTCTCTCGCCCGCCCCAACTCACGCTTCTGTTGCACTAAGCACTCACTATCAAGAATGCTGTGCACACTGAGCACAAAATGGAAATTCACATGCCATTTCAAAATCAAAAGAAGGCTTCTTGTAGTTCGCAGAAACTTTTCGTGAACATGCCAAATTTTCACAGCCCACTGCTACATGCAAAACTCCTGACAAAACATGCTGCAAACATGACTTGAAAATTTCTTCAGTCAACGGTCCATTGTGCACAGGTTTCTTTGCTTGAGGCACTGGCAGAGTTTCGCTTGCACCCAGCTCAATGGGGTCAACTGACTCGTCAGAATAGTTCTCAATATCGACATGTTCTGCATCTTGCAAAGTCTGTGCAGCAATCCGAGCAGCCCGAGTTGCATCAGGGTCAAAGTAACCCTTTCGAATGGAGTCCAGAATGCGCCACAACTTGGTTTGAATCTCGGCAAGCGCATCTCTCGAGTATATCAATGGCATTGCTAACCTGGAGTCAAAATGGTGCCCCATGATACGCCTCTCATCAATTGACATGGCTCCAGATGTTGCCGCCCAAGACAGTGCAGTAGCCTTCAAGGTGTGTGTGCTGTATGAAGCCGCCTGAGCCTCACTCATACCAGAGTTGCACAGCAGCTCACGTAGAAAGTATACACCTTCACCAGATGTCATTGGACGATTCAACCATTGTGATGTTTCTTCATTCCAGGCCGGCATCAAAAATTTGAAATGATCCATCTTTTGTCGCTTCCGGGCACGAATCCATGTCCATGCCCAAGAGTCCTTTTCGTAAAGCCCATTGCCCAGGGCCAGCATAGGAAGGGCAACATTCCTAGCTTCCTTGCCAGCCGTATGCGCTGTCTTGAATTTCATGCTTGACGTCTCCAGCAGTGATATGTGACCACTCATGTCCAAATGCACGGTCTCCGCACGAGCTGCGTCAGCAAATCTTGCAGATGCCAGCAAACAAAAAATCATGAATCCTCCAATGCATGCCTCCACATCGTTGCACTCACAGACATGTTTCTCCAAAGCGTACAACGCATCAGCAGTAAGTGGTGGAGCTTGCTTCAACTCCCTTTTGCCTGAAAGCATAGTCCTGCTAACTCCGTTCACTCTGCCAGAAAAAAATTGAGCAACATCCACCCTCGCAAAGCCAATGTGATGTTCGAAAAATCCAATTGCTTTGATAAATGACTGCAGAGATGTTGCAGAGGCTCCGGACAGTTGCAAGTGCTTGGCATAGTCGTACACCACAGTCTCTGAAATGTTCATGGGATAGCAACGTCCCCCATCAACTGCCCATCGTGCAAAACGGTGATAGTCTGCAACCCTTTTAGATACTGTGCCAGGCGCCTTGCCAGCAACAGCATCAATAAAGGAAGTTGAAATTTTCGACTCTGGTACCAGCTTTCCTGAAAAATCCAGAAGTGCTCTGCCCAGTCTTGAATCCAAAGGTTGAAAAAGAACTATCTCTTTGAGTTGCCGCATTGCACAATCAACCAGCTGATCATCTGTTTTGGCAAATGCCGTTGCCAACAGTCTTTTGCGTTTGAAATCTGAGACTCCTTGCACCGGTTCCTCATGCGAGCTCACTGCACTATGCACAACGCCCTGAACAGATTCAAACCGCCCATACATAGGCAGCTGTGGTTGCCTCCAAATGCTGTCCAGTGAAAATACATTGTCAAAATCCATTCTATTCAAAAAAGAACTTGGCAGTGAAGAAGACCCAGCCACATGTTGAATCACAAGGTTGTCAATGGTTCGACTGACATCCATGTCAACTGTTTCAGCCAAGTTCCTATCAGCCCGTGCCTTGGCTGTGGGCACCATGAAGCGTCCAGTCTGGTTTTCAACGTCATCTGGTCTGACCAAACTTGCAGCGAGTGAATATTCTTCCTCAATTTGCTGCTCTGCAAATTCCTTTTCCTCGTATCCAAACAAAGGACTGAAATGTGAATCTTGTCCAAAATCATGATCATTCAAAGCATCTGGAAGTTGTACGTGTTCCCAGTCCATGTCGCTCTGGCCTCCATTGTCCCCTTGCGAAACAGGCCACTGCGCAGCACCAGCTGCATCTGGTAAATCGCCCAAACTGTGTGAATCACGCACAAGTACCATGAAAACAAAACACTTGCAAATCCAGGCAGTGTTTGTTCAAATGAAAACTGAAAGTTCTGTCAGAGAATGCACGTCCCGTAAAATCAAGATCTTCCAAAATTCTGTCAGGCATCCATGGCGATATGGAAAAATCGGGATAGAAAAATCGAACGGGTCAAGTGCAACCCACCCTCCACACCCTAGCCAAAATTGCGCGGAACATAAAATCAAAATGTTCGCAACAGAGCAAAAGGTGAGAAGACTGACATCAATCTGATCTAAATAAAAAGTGAGAAGTAAAGATCATCCTTCAAACAACAGTGACAGATGTAAATGTCACAACATGATAATAAACAGAAGTTGTTTGGAAACTTCAGTTGGTTTCCAGCATTCAGCCAGGAGCATCTGCCGCCGCACAAGTGCGGAATGGAAAAGGCGTCCAACTACGGAAGTTTCAGCAGATTTCACCGCACTTCCACACATCTTAAAATAGCTTGAACAATTTGAACATGTTTAACATCTTCAACTCTTCACAGGAGGATCAGCTATATTTGCTTGACTCTGAAAGCTGAGCTGAAAACACCGCCAGGCTCACCAACACCGTCAGTTGGTTTTCAGTTCATCAGATTTTTCTTTTTTTGTTACAGGCGGTACGTTCGCAAGCTCACTACTCCCAACAAACAAAGGCCACAACAAGTTGAAGCCAAACATCTCGCCCCCTTTTGCTTCAGTTCTCAGTAGTTTTGCACCAGTTGGGACTCCCAACCATGGTCGTGCTAAAAGTTTCTTATCCGTCAGCGGCGGTGAAGCGCTGGACACCAGGCTGCGCACTGCAGCAAATTCAGAAATGATTTGGGGAACTCCTCGTCCTTTCACCTGTTGGTTTGGCCTAAACTTGTCCAGGGCTGCGTCGGTTTGCCGACGTTCATTTGTACCAAAAACCATGCGCTCAAGGATCACTGCGTACTGCTCGCAAAGGGCCCGAGGATATTCAGCTTCTTTGGCAGTATTGAATTCCCCTTTCTCAAAGTCATAACCCCAGCCTTTATGGGGATGAGATCCATCGCAGAACTTCTCCAAGGCGCATAAATGGGATGAGCTACAAAGAAAGGCAGTGTTCTTTTTGCGCTCACCCCCATAGGCACATGCATGCAGCTTCACAAAGTGACCATGTGCCAAAGCAAAACTCATCTCAGGCAACTCCCACAACCATGAATTCGCAGGATTTTCTATTGTCCAATGCACCCCTCGTGAATGAAGAAATTGTATGAATCGATCTGCCCAAGCATATAAGTCATTTGCTGCTTGAACCTTTGCAGCATCAACAGCAGACAAACCTTCAAGGCCATGTAAGTGATTGGCATCCCTCAGAGGAGGGGGGCCCGGCGACCCGTCAGGCAACGGTATCCCCCTCGCACGTGAGCAGGTTCCACATGGCAAAGCTATATGGACACAGGCAACGTTGTAATCTTCCACAATACGATGTAACAGCTGCTCAGCATGTTGAGTTGTCAAATCCAGAATAACCAGTCTGCACTTTGGGACGTGGCGATTTCGCGGGCAGTCGATTGGGATGATCTGAAAACCTTTCTGTTGTACCATTGAACTCAAAATTCCACAACCAGCACAAGCTTCGATAAAAATGGGTGTGTCCTTGTAACCTGAAGGGCTCAACGTAGTTGCATTCGAATTGTTTGCATGCTTCTTGGAAGCGTCCATCTCAGTTGAAACTGTCTTAGACAAGGCGGAATCTTTTCCACCAGGCTCCGGACAAGCTTGTCCTTCCTGCAGATTTGACGAAGAAGTCCATTGCTTATGGGCCCCTCCATCACTTGCAGTTGCAGCCATCAACTTTGTTGAGCTGCCTAGCTCAAGCTCTGGCCGACGTTTGCGGCCACTTCCAGCACTGGTAGGACCTGCTGTTGGTTCCGCTTCCGCTTCAACCGCAAGTCAGTTTGATCTTTTGTTCGGGCATTCCACTGCCGGGTGGGGCTTTTGACACCCTCGCACACTGCACAAGTGAAGCCCCCGATCGCACTTTTGATTGCTTACATTGGCCTGGCAAGTCTTCAAGTTGTACCCAAAACACAATCGATGTCCTTTTGGAGTGGCTCCTACTGATCCCAATTTCAAGAGCTCGGTTGGGATTCTCTGGAAAGGTGCCTGTGCCGCTTTGCCCTGACCTTTCCCTTTTGCACCTGTCTTTGCCCGCTTGCTTGGCGGGTCAGCACTAGGGCCAGCGGCCTCCTTCCCCGCCTGGCCTGATGGAGCCATGCGAGGTTGCAGTAGGTGCCTAAACTCAGCACAGTTGAAAACCTTGTCAAAAGCGTTGTCACAAGGGCGTCCATTCTGCGTTGATTTAATTCCTGATCTGGTTTCTTCGCCCAACAAAACAAAGAACTTTTTGTCTGCAGCTTCCAACTGTTTCATTGCCACGCGTTGGTATCCACTTGGAGGCTCTTGCATACGAACATCCAACAACAGTTCAACCAGCGTGTCATGCTTTTCAAACTCCAAAATGTTGGCGTGGTCCATGGCCAATCCACGTCTGACCAACGCATATCTTACCTGAATCTCACTCATACTTTGCATGGGCTCAATCTTTGAGGTCCTGGCCAGCTTCAGCGTTCCGTCACTGTTGAAAGACAGGTCTGTGTCCTTCTTGACATTGTTGGCAAGTTCATACTCACGGCTAATGCACAAGCTCCACTCAACATATGTTAACCTGTCAGCTTCATAAGCAGCACAGCATCGATCGACTAAGGCATCGGCCGGTTCATACTGGCCCCTGATGGCCAAACCCTTCAGTTTCTGTTGCTGGTTTCTCAATCTATCAGCTCTCTCTGCAGGTGCAAGGCGTCTCGAAACACTTTCATCAGTCTGTTTCACCTGCGCCTCTATGTCTGCTGCAACGTTTGCATAGCTCTCGTTAAAAAGCCTGCGCAGAATTGAAAGTTCTGCTGGGTTAGGGTCCCGGCCCAATGTCGCCGATATCATCTCCAGGAACGGCTTATCAGTTGAAGCTCCAGGCGAGTAGTTGCATGAAAATGCAAACATGGCCATGTTTTTGTAACCCTTGTCAACCAGCTGTGTGAAAACATCAGCACTGAGACCCATGTGCAGCGCTCTCTGCTCAAACACCGCTGCACTATCACCATATGACATGGCAGCGTAAGCTTCCAACGCTTGCTTAGCGTCTGGGCTCTGAACTGCTTAGTTCAGGTCAGCTTTCAAAACACTTAGGGTGAAATGCACTTGACAACATGTTTCTGCGTGATTCTCACATGCAGTCTTGCACATGATCAAATAAAAGGAGATTAAAAACTTCGCGAAACTGTCATGTCAAGCATGCGTGTTCCACCATTGGTTCCAGCCTTTGCCGTGCTTCAGCCGCTGGGTAAGTCGAGCTGCGGTCGCAACTCATGAATCATCATGCTCATGCTTCAAGCTTGCACTGCCATGCCAAAACAAAATTTGAAATGACGCTCACTCAAACTACCTGAAACACATGCCATACTGTTTACCTATCGTTTTGAAGTTTCGGACACTCAGTTTGATCGTTTTGCAAGTTTCGGCCAGTCTGTTTTGTTTCGTTTGTGAGGAGAAAAACTGCTGCAAATTTCTTTCCTTATTTAGCCCGTTGTTTTGACAAGGCATCATTATGCCTTGAAACATCCGCTGCAAACTGGGTGCATAAACGCAGGTTTCGCCAACAAGATCACATATCTGTTGCTGACTGTCCGTCCACAGCTAAAATGTGTCCCAGACTCATCGCTCATCGCATGAATGCACCTCAAAACTCTATGCCGTGCGAACTGCTGTCCTGGGAGGTCGGCCCCTTTCGGAGCCCATTTCCCCACCATCTCTGCTACCACTGACTCTTCTTCGTCGTGGTTGCGCTCCTCTTCACTGTCAGATCCACGGCTGGAGCTCCCGTCTGACTCACCGTCAGAAACGTCTGCATTTGCGTCAGGTGGAAGTTCTGAGTCCGGGACAAAGTAACCAGACCTGCTAGAGTCAGGGAAAAACTGCTTGTTTTTGATCGCTGTGATCATTGAAATCAACTTCCTCAGCGGGGCACTCATGGCGTCTCGGGAGTAGGTCAGCAAAGAGCGATCCTTTCCTTCGCTGTGGTACCCAAGGAACCTTCTGCTGTCATAGTCAACGCCATACTTGGCTGCCATGGCCAAAAGTGTCGCCTTGCACGAGTGAGTGGCCACTCTGTCACGTGCCACACTTTCAATTTTTAGGAGCGACCGAAGCCAGTCACCTGCCGCACCCACTTGAAGGGGCATTGGTGCCCACCCTCCCCCCAACTGTGGTGAGGGCAACATTGGATGGGCACTTCTGCCCTGAAGCCCAGCAGCTTCTCGAAGCTCCAGCCAAACTGGCACCCAGCTCGGCTCACTGAACGACTCCAAGGGGATTGCCACCGGCAGGAATCTAACTTTTCTCTCCAGTGTCACCGACGTCTTTGTCCTTTCGGCTTGCGCCTCCAGGAAGCCAGTCAGCTTACCATCGACAACCCTGGAGTCCAATTGCAAGTCAACCAATTGTAGTCCGTCGCTGTACCTCAATCGGCCAAAAATCAAAACCAGGAAGAAACCTGCTGCAATCCTGTCGTAGCTGGTTCTTGCAGTGTCATGGACCGTCGCCTCCAATGCAATGATCTGGGCAACTGTCAAAGGAGGCCTCTGCACAATCTTGCGTCTGTCAGCATAAAAGGAGTCGCTAACCCCTTTGATTCGGCCAGACTTTGCAGCCATGTCTCCACCAGCCAGCCCAAAGATATGAAATGCAAAAGATAAAGACACCAGCAACGACCTCGGAGCTGTCGGCGCCCAAGAAGTCTGTGACTTGATGTAGTCATACACCATCCATTCCTGTACCGGAAAGAAATCAATGCCTTTGTCTTTCCAGTATTTCGAAAATTTCAGCAACGGCCCAGCCCTTGCATGAAGGGTTGAAGTGGCTTTTCCAGCCAGAGAGTCCACCACGGACTCCATGAGCCCTCCACCAGCCAGCCTCATGCTGTCTCCGGATGCAACGCTCCTTCCAATTGTCCATGCACTCATCTTCATTAAAATCAAGCTGCACCACTTCTTGCAAGCACATTTCCTCTCCCAGCTTAGGCGTTCTTCCCATAAACGCTGATCTGAGGCTTTCACTGCACGAAGCCCCACTTTTGCAAAGGAATCTTCTATGTACTCCGACTCCAGTGAATCTGCAAGTTCTCCTGGAAAACATGGAAGTGGTGGCAACCTTGAGCTCCATGATGGCAATGACACATCGTCCAGTCGAGCACGCATATGGTTACTTAATTTCAAGTCCCATGGCATCGTGTGCAGTTTCTTTGTCTGCCTAGCATTCCAGCAAAATTGTGTGTGCTTCAAATATGCATCTGGTGTTCTTGTTGACCAATCATCCAAAACATCTCCCCTTGTCCGCTTACAGCTCGTCATCAGAAATTGTATCTGAAACTGTTGTCCAAGAGGCAAGAGGTGGCGTGGGAACGGTCCACGTAGACAAAACGAACCCCAGCCTCCACTCGGTTGCAGCCAATGCCACCTCAGCCCTGTCAGTGAGGACAACGCAGCAAGTCAAGGAGAAACGTGCCTGATGAAGTGAATCCAAAAAACCAATAACCCTGTAGTTCACTGCAAACTGTCGCCAAACCAAGTGTAAAAATTGGCAAGAGTTGTAACCTTGCAGGAACCGCTCCAGAGTACAGGTAAGGTTCATTCAAAGCTCCCTGAATTGAGAGTCCAATGATGGAAAAAGCAACCACAGAAAACAAGCGATCCACCCTCCAGCAAACGAAGTGAGGCACCACGCCCACACAGGGCACAAAGGCTTCCGAGGGGGAACACGTGCTATGGCTGCCGCGCCCCGTGCACGGATATCCATGCAAAAATTGGACTTTCACGGATGATGGTCTCCCACCCACCCACCGCTTGAAATGATAAACATTCGCATGAAATAAATTCAGGTATCGTGTCTTCAAATGTGATCTTCAAAATTGACATCACTTGATTGAAACTGCTTCTGTTTCACGTTTGGAAAACTTAAATGGCATTCACTTCTAAGGTGGCATGCATATGCTACCAAAGTATAAAACTGAACACCGTTGTGATTCCAAACAAACTCATTTAAAGATTGGTTTTTCCTGTGACCCTTCAAAACAAAGGTTTGTAAAACACAGTGTTTGCTTCACACTTGTTAGTGTCGTACAAACGGTTGTTGAGGTCAGAGGAAGGAACATAAAACCGCGGAGGTATTGTTGACGCTTTGCTTATTTTCTTTTTGTTTGGTTTGAGGAGAGGGGATCTTATCCCCAATTCAAAAGTCAATCTATAAACACCTATTGGCAAGCCAACAGAGATCCTTCCTCTTGCCGCTCTCCCCAGAATCGGCCGCCGCTGCATTCTTCTGGAGGAGATTGTCAACGGCCGTTCGAATTTGCCCAGCTGTACTGTGCTTGAAGCTGAGATCATCCCTGTAGAGTAGATCCGCCAGCTGCCTCTCCTTGAGGTTGCAGATGTGAAGGTTTGCTTGGCGGAGACCAAGGATTGTAACAACGGCAGTCCGGAAGCCACTCAAAGATGACAATGATTTGTATGGATTCTCGATGGCATGCTGAAAGAGTCTCGGTTCCACTATGGCCGTGTGGACAAGCTGGGAGAATCTCAGATCGAGGCTAAGGTAGCTCAACGAAGCTGCTGGTGCCCGAGCAAGCGTCCTCTTCACGATCGAGTGAAGGCCTTCTGTCGAACGTTCGATGACCCGAACCTGGGCTCCACTGCTGCAGAACACACACACACACACTTGCTCAGAACCAACCATGATGATGCTTTACAATGTCTAAGCAACAAGGACTTCGAAACAGGTAGCCAAATGAAAATGTGAAACCATTTGCTCAAATGTGAGCCCCACAAGCCACAAGCACTGCTTATTTGGTCCTTGCTTGACAATCACATCTGCATGAACAGTGCATGTATATAAAACCATATAAAACAAGTCCAAACTGGCACTGCCAATCATTCATGAGAGAGCCAAGTCACATGCCGGAAGCGGCAAACCCAACCACCAAACTCTGCGAGTTCATCTGGCGAGAATGTCTCAAGTGGTTCTCCTCCAGTTGGGCGCTTCAATGACACACTTGGTCTGAAGTCTGAAGCACATGTCATGACATGTACTAAAGGACACTGACACATGTGTAATTGTTATCTTGAAAACAAACCTGACAAAGCTCATGGCACATGGTACCAACTTGACATCAACTTACAAACATGTGGGAGTGCATGGGCTGGTGAAAACATCCCCCCCCCTTTAAGGGGGGGGGTGGGGGGGGGTAAAAACTGAAATATTTCACTTTAGGGGGAGGTCTCCCCCCCCCCCCACACACCTAGAAATATTTCACCTCCCTAAAGTGAAATATTTCAGCTAAAAAAATCTGGTCTATAATGGTCTCTGGGCGTGGTTGAATTCAAGGCTGAACGTCATGTTCTGAAGGCTGTTTGGCAAGTTCACTCTCTTATTTACTTCCTTGGAAACCGGCAGTTACCATTTACCTAGTTGTCACTGTTTGCGCGCGGGCCCTACCCGTATGTATGTAAGTATGTATGTATGTTCAAAATGAAAGGGTGTGTCATGGTGTGTCATACCGTTTCTGGGCTAAAATGTGGCATCCGGAAGACCCCCCCCACGTCTTTTAGAAACCCAAAAAAACACGTGGGAGGGGCCTTACCCCCCCCGAAAAATTCCAGGGTTAAAGGGGGGGATGTGAAAACATTAGTCCCCCATAACCCCCATATATTGTTTATCTTGCATGATATGGTGGTTATCGGCTTTGTGTACCATCCCTACTGCAGACTGCAGACTGCTGATTCTGGCCTCGGGAAACCCGTTCCAGAAATGGTCTCGATGGGATCTCATTGCCGTTATTGTCGAGGCCTTTCCAGTCGGGCTGGCAAAACCGCCTTGTCATTGCATGTTGGAGATGATGTTGTTCTGGAGGCAGGCCGTCAAACTCCTGCAATGCCTTTGAAGCTATATTGCGAACTTCCACTGGGTCACTGGAGGCAAGCCAGCCTGAGGACATTTGGCAATGGGCACTTTACATGACATCTTGGCCCTGGGGTGGCAAAAATTCTAGCCAGGATAGCCAGGACAAGGGCCATGGCCATGGACAGGCTACAGCTGTGAAACACGCTTCATGCGAGTTTTGACTTTTGACAATACAATTCGCTGCAAAACCGAAAAGTAAGCCAAGCTGCACAGGAGCCATGGTAAGCACTGCCAGAAACGCAGCTTTGCAAACATTTCACCTTGGATTCTGGATGGATGTAAAATAACTCAACTCCTTGTCCTTGTCCTTGTCCTTGTCCTTGTCCTTGTTGTTGTTGTTGTTGTTGTTTGATATAGGAGAAGGAGGCGTGAAATGCCGATGCAGCATGGCCTGGCTTATGCATGTTCCACACAAACACCAAAAACAATGTGAATCGTATCTTCTCCTTGCAAAAAAGATGCTCCAGAGGCGAGATCTGGCCGCCAACCAGTCTTGGAGAATTGCAGCCTTTTCCTCTGCTGAAACACCAGAACAATGATACAGGATCCGCTCCTGAGATGGAAAGGTGGGGGTCCATATGGTTCTTCAAGGACTTTCATTTGTTTGAGATAAGATCTAGACACCGCAAACGAAACGCAAACAAACTTAAAACACAAAAACACAAACAAAACTTCAATCCTCCCGCTTGACCATGTCTCGCTTCTGATCTCAGAAAGCACTCCCTTTTCATCTGCTGGATGGTTTGTTCCACTGTTGAACCAGGTTGGATTCGACCATACTTCAATCGAAACCATTTGACCAGATGGCATCAACAACCCATTCGGGTCAGATGACATCAACGATGCACCATTGTGCATTGTCGTAAATTCAGTGGAAATACTGAACGTGACATAAAAGTCACCACGCTTTGAAGTGCAACGCACTGCAAAGAACCCGGAGCACAAAGGCTCCAAAGATGAACATAATTCAGAGTACAAACAGGAGAAATAGGGTGAAACATTGAGATCAACCTGTTGATACAACATTGGTATAGAAATGAGAACAAGGTGAGGGAGGGAGGGAAACGAAAAATGTATACGCACAAATGAAAGTCCTTGAGCCAAAATGGAATAGAAACACACAGAAGTTCCTTGCAAAACACAATGAACAAGTACATTAAACGTTCTTCAAGGACTTTCATTTGTTTAAGATAAGATCTAGACACCGCAAACGAAACGCAAACAAACTTAAAACACAAAAACACAAACAAAACTTCAATCCTCCCGCTTGACCATGTCTCGCTTCTGATCTCAGAAAGCACTCCCTTTTCATCTGCTGGATGGTTTGTTCCACTGTTGAACCAGGTTGGATTCGACCATACTTCAATCGAAACCATTTGACCAGATGGCATCAACAACCCAAACTAAAACTATCTGGTATAATGGTTATCGCCCAAACACGCCCAAACAAGAAGTGAGAACCATTCCAGCAGATTACATCGTGATAAGATGTGGGAGTTTCCATAGGAGTTTGGAATCAGGAGGATGCAAAGTAGGGTGAGGTGAACAACGACACAGTTGATTTAGTGAAAGATGAATCCGTTCACTTGTTTGAAAATCATGTGGGACGGGAGTAGAAAAATCCCATCGGCTCAGATCATCCGCTATGATGTTGTCAGCGCCAGGAATATGGCTCACATCCAATTCAATACCTGTAGTCGAAGCCAGGCACGTGAGGATCTCGACAAAGAGACATAGAGGATGAGTCGTCGTAAATAACTTGTTGCTCACGCTCTCTGCCCCCGTGTTGTCGCTCAAAGACTTCAAACATATGGGAATGCGAAACCCAGGAAAAGAAGTGGCCACTAACCACACCAAGGCAATTTGGGCTAGAGTTTCAAATTTGGGCTAGAGTTTCAAATGATGCAATGCTTCGTTGCATATTGGGGTCCAAATGAATTGACAAAATGTCAAAATCAGCATGGGAAAATTTTTCAGAAAACCAAAATTGAACTCCTGAATGACGGCGGATGAAACCTCCGATTTGACAATGAGAGCCAGCTGCACATGCATCTGCTGCCGCAATGCCGTTCCAATATGGCTTTGCTCGCATCGGTCGGGATGGAGAAACACCCATCAGCCAATGGTCAAATAACTTCAAAATTCAGAGAGAATCAGGTCGAAGCTTGCGTTTGGAGGAATTTGGATTAATAATCCGTAGCCAAATTCTGTTCTCAGTTTTGATATGTAATGATGTAAGATCTGCCAGAGATGATACTGCTTGATGTCGAACTGAGATTAACTTACCTGATATCGGTATGGCGGAGCCGGAGCCCAATGGTGCTGTATGAAATGTCAAATTTGGTGTTAAATATTGATGAATGCGAGGCCATGTACCTGCATCAATACTGAAATGTGTCGCCGGGATGGTGTATAGGTCGTGGTACCAGTAGTGGATCCAGATCCGCATGAGCGGAAATAATTGAGTAATCCACATTGCGAGGCCAATGAGCTTTTCCAAAGACTTACGTGTAGTTCGTGGCTGGGATATAAGGTGTTCGATGTATCCTCGGAGTTTGAGGATCTTTTCAATTGGGATTGTAACAATGCCGGTATTGAAATTGAATTTCCAGCCAATGTAGTCAATGGAGGAATGCATGGCCGTCTTCTTCCAGCTGATAGGGATTTCCAGGAGCTGGCAGAAAATACATAGCAACGTGGCTGACAGCGGCATCATATTGGCTTCCATAAAAAAGAGGAAATCATCCACATATAAAAATCCTGCATGACTTAACCAGATCAGATGGTGAAATATACGTAGGATAAGTCCACCCAATCGCGCCCACCAAAAAGCGGAGAAGACTGCACCAAATGGGGTAACTCGATAGAAGAAAAGCTGTCCCTCCAGAGAAAAACCAACGAGGCCACATTCGTCTGGATGTAGAACAATTCTTTTGTGAGCAGCTTTAACATCTAAAGAGAAGCCCATTAGATTCTTCTGGCAGTTGCGTAGGGGGTAGCTACGTAACACTTCTTTGGCAGTCGGTAATGTGGATCTTTCAGGAATGATGCAACGACCATTCAGCCCACAGACACTGGAATCCACAACTAAGCGGGGAGCTCGTCCATCCGAGCGAGCTTCTCCCAATTTTCCAATGGCGACTCCTTCTGGATATTCCTGTTGGGCTTCATCCGAAGAACCCGGATAAGCAAAAACCCAACCCTTGTCAACTTCTTCCTGAACAAGTTCTCGTGTTAAGGGTAGATCCTCCTCTGCGCTCTGCCAGTTGGAGAGGTGAGCTGACAATGGGTCGGGTTCTGTATCAGCACGGTCTTTGGGCGGAAAAATACCTGATGGAGGAATCGCCGTGGAAAAGCCGGTCCGGACACCTTCTAATAAACTTGGTAATGATGAATGTAAAGTCGAAGTCGTGCATGATCCTCTGGAATGAATCAGCAAAATAAAGAGGGGGTCAAGCCAGGGGGGGTTAAGCCAGGAGTGGTTTCTTTACTGTTGCAAAAAAAAAAGAGAGTAAAAATAAGAAAAAAAGAGGAAAAAGAGAAAAAATAATAAAAAATAAGTTTTTAAAAGGGTCTTAGCAAAAGGGTTAAGAGCAAAAAAAGACACGTTTTTACCGTGGATTGGAAATTGAGTTTAATATCAGAACTTATAAACTAGGTAATATCCTGTATGTAATGTGATATATCACAAATTTAATCCAGCTATTAAATATGCCATTGAGTTAAGAAATATCATTTTTAAATTGACTCAATTGTCAATGATTCAATGGGTCACTGACAATGTTAAAGTTGACAAACGACACTGCGGCAAGACAATCATTTTTTTTACCTGAGTCGTAGTCAGTGAGTGGTCGAAGTGTCAGTGCCAGCTCAGTGTTCACAGTGCTGACTGACCAGGTCAATCAGTTGTCGATTCGCGAAATCAATCAACCAATGGATGAATGAATGACAATGACTTGACTTACTATTTATTTATTTAGTAGGCTAATGAATCATTTTAAGAATCGACAACATGAATGAGATACATTCAAAGTCAAACGCAGTGATTATCTGGTGCATCAGTGAGTCAGTGCACACACTGACTGAGGCACATCAGTACACACTTGCACTGCCACAGTACTACGACATTACGGCCTTTTCTGCATAGTAAGCCTGGAGCAAATGACAAAAGCATGGGCATTGACAAAAAGGATCATGACAAGCATTTATTTCACTAGGACAAAGGCAGCCAACCTGCCACACAAAACCTCCACGCCTGCCAACGCACGTGATACCCGTAACATATTATCATGTAACAGGGTATATATCCGGGGATATCATATAGAGTATATATCACCATATATAGCGACGGACTGGAACTTAGAATGTCAGCCCAGTTTTCCAAAATTTAGTGGTTTGAACTTAGAATGCCATCCAAATGGGGTATCTTAGAATGCCGCCACATGTGACATTCTAAGTTCCAGTCATGGGTGAGAAAACCACAGTATTTCCCAATATTTGAGGCCAAAACATGTCACAAACAGTTTATAGACTGACCAGAAATATATCCCAAAGCATTCCAAGTTCCTAGTTCAACCCCCTCATGCATGATATAGTGACGGATTGAAACTTAGAACTCCGTTTTGGAATTTACATATGGCCATTACGGAACGACACCGCGGCCAAAATCTCACCGCAGAAGACAATTTTATAACCCATAGATTTTCATACTAGAGTTAGAATGTGGCAGCACACCGTACGGAGTTTATCGTTTTTGAGCACCGTTCTGTAGTTTTGGGGCCAAATCCGGCAAACTTAGAATGTGTACATATGATCATAAAATATCATATGTGTTCATGGGCTCTGTGAACATATGTTCGCTTTATACCCCATAGATTTTCATACTAGAGTTAGAATGCCGCCAACACACCGTAAGGAGTTTATCATATTTGAGCACCCTTATGTAGTTTGGAGACCAAATCTGGCAAACTTAGAATGTCCATATATGATCACAGGTGTTCATCGGCTCTGTGAAAATACGCCTGGCCACTTGAAAATAAGGTTTATAGAAGCTCTATGGAGGATTTTTGAGGGATTTATGGAGGATTTATGGTGGATTTATGGAAGATTAATTGGCGGATTTATGGAGGATTTCTGATGGATTTATGAAGGATTTATGGAGGATTTATGGAGGAAAGAATGGCGGATTTAGGCAATTCATTTGTGAATACTACAGTTCCAAGAAAGTTAGCTTTATGTATTCGTTTTCAATTAGGCAATTCATTTGTGAATACTACAGTTCCAAGAAAGTTCACTTTATGTATTCGTTTTCAATTAGGCAATTCATTTGTGAATACTAAAGTTCCAAACAAGTTCACTTTATGTATTCGTTTTCAATTAGGCAATTCATTTGTGAATACTACAGTTCCAAGAAAGTTCACTTTATGTATTCGTTTTCAATTCGGCAATTCATTTGTGAATACTAAAGTTCCAAGAAAGTTCACTTTATGTATTTGTTTCTCCGTGACCCCCATTCTAACACGGGTTTGGAAACTGGGGGGCCCTTCTAAGTTTTCATCCGGTACTATACGTATTGCCTGGGGCAACCATGTTTACCCATCTGAAGGGTTTTATCAAAACCGGGCGCCGAATCTCTGAACAACAGGGCAAAAACCCCTGAAATGTCTGCATCAAAGGTATCCAAAAGAACAAGTGAAGCATGTCAAAATAGAAAAGGACCTGACACGCATTCTAAGTTAACATCTGCAAGAGCCATTTATCGAAAAATACAGTCAAAAAGTTGCGGGAGCACATATTTCTATATTTTGCCGCTACTTTTTCCAGTGGGTACGGTTCCAAAATGGCATTCTAAGTTTCGGTTCCAAAATGGCATTCTAAGTAACGTATCTGTCTCTGATTTACTATATTTACTATATTTATATAAATATGAAGCCATCAGCCAGGTGGCATGTCCTCCAAATGCGGCACTTTCCGGCTTCCAGCTGGAAGTCGGTCGTTATCAAGCTTTTGGAAAAAACAAATCCATGACTTCTCCGGCATCAAAATGGTCCAAATCCTGCTTCAATTTTGCCAAGCCGAGGAGGCAACAGCACAACTGGATGAATGCGACCAGTTTTCAACTCTTCAAGTCTTGCTTAGATAATTTGTAAGAAGCTTGCACCTCGCAACAACATTCCCGAAATAGTTTTCTTCAAAATGTCGAAGCACTGTTGATTTGCAATTGCTCAAAATCTGAACCTTTTATAGCGACGGACTGAAACTTAGAATGCCATTTTGGAACCGTACCCACTGGAAAAAGTTGCGGCAAAATATAGAAATATGTGCTCCCGCAACTTTTGTACTGCGTTTTTTCACCAATTGGCTCTTGTAATGTTAACTTAGAATGCGTGTCAGGTCCTTTCCTATTTTGACATGCTTCACTTGTTCTTTTGGATACCTTTTATTTCAGGGGTTTTTGCACTCGTGTTCAGAGATTCGGCGCCCGGTTGCTGCTTCTCAGCCTTCAACTTCAAACCCAGTAGGCTTGAAAGCTTTTTGAATATATTCAAGGTTTTAGTAAAAACCCTTCAGATGGGTAAACCTGGTTGCCCCAGGCAATACGTATAGTTCCGGATCGAAACTTAGAAGGGGCCCTCAGTTTTCAAATATCTGTTTTATCATAGTAGTTACTTAAATTAACACCTTCACCCCCTCCATTGATGATTGCCGTATTTACGAATTCTTCAGTAGCAAGGTTAGATGAACCAGTTGCTAAAAGTTTGATAAATTCTGTTCCTATGATGGTATTACCGCCGTCTAATTGAACCATTAAATATAAAATAATTGAGATAGCCTACTGAAGTTGAAGACCTGACACGCATTCTAAGTTAACATTACAAGAGCCAATTGGTGAAAAAACACAGTACAAAGCACATATTTCTATAGAACAAGTGAAGCATGTCTAAATAGAAAAGGACCTGACACGCATTCTAAGTTAACATTACAAGAGCCAATTGGTGAAAAAACACAGTACAAAAGTTGCGGGAGCACATATTTCTATATTTTGCCGCAACTTTTTCCAGTGGGTACGGTTCCAAAATGGCATTCTAAGTTTCAGTCCGTCGCTATATACATATGATATCAATACGCTTCGCCATATGCCGTCGTCGAATCGCCAAATCAAACGAAAACATCGAGGCCCAAAAACATGAAAAGCACAGCAACCGAATGTCACATCACTGAAATTCAAGATCAAGCAAGCTGACATGTGAATCGGAATCGGACTCCTTCATTTTCACACCACGGGGCTGTTGTCGCACTACCCCGTCCTCGGACGGTAGGGGTAGGCTAAACGAATGGATGTGATCCTCTTCGTTGGAGTTATCACGAATGGATGTTATCCTCTTCGTGTGAAATAGTTTGCGAAATTGGGTGGGAGCAACGCAGGGAGGGTCGAAATTTCGCCAACCATTGGCAAAACACGCACCCAACCAACTTGAAACCAAAAAGGCCACCACAAACAAAGATTCAGTCACAACCTGTTTGTAGTTAAGTTTCAAGTTGCCGCGTCTGTTTTGCAACCCATACTAGTTTGTTTGTTTACAAACAGTTTCTTGTAAACTGAAGCAACAGTGTTTCACTGTTTATTTAAAATTCAAGTTTGGCATCTGGAAGATTTTGTAACAAATAATTAAGGGGGCAGGTTAAAGGCTGCAGTTTCTCTTTGTAACCCAAGTTCCAAAGTAGAAACAGAAGTCCATGTTAAATAAAGGTTTATCCTTTTTCGTACCTCAACGGAGGGCACCCTTATTTCACTAGGACAAAGGCAGCCAACCTGCCACACAAAACCTCCACGCCTGCCAACGCACGTGATACCCGTAACATATTATCATGTAACAGGGTATATATCCGGGGATATCATATAGAGTATATATCACCATATATACATATGATATCAATACGCTTCGCCATACGCCGTCGTCGAATCGCCAAATCAAACGAAAACATCGAGGCCCAAAAACATGAAAAGCACAGCAACCGAATGTCACATCACTGAAAATCAAGATCAAGCAAGCTGACATGTGAATCGGACTCCTTCATTTTCACACCACGGGGCTGTTGTCGCACTACCCCGTCCTCTCCCCCTGCTGTGCAGGGTGCTGTGCAGGGTGCTGTCCAGGGTGCGGTGGCGAAGTCTGGCAAAGGTGCTGTGCAGGGTGCTGTGCAGGGTGCTGTCCAGACTGCGGTGGCGAAGTCTGGCAAAGGTGCTGTGCAGGGTGCTGTCCAGGGTGCGGTGGCGAAGTCTGGCAAAGGTGCTGTGCAGGGTGCTGTGCAGGGTGCTGTGCAGGGTGCTGTCCAGACTGCGGTGGCGAAGTCTGGCAAAGGTGCTGTGCAGGGTGCTCTGCAGGGTGCTGTCCAGACTGCGGTGGCGAAGTCTGGCAGGTGCTGTGCAAGGTGCTGTGCAGGGTGCTGTGCAGGGTGCTGTCCAGACTGCGGTGGCGAAGTCTGGCAAAGGTGCTGTGCAGGGTGCTGTGCAGGGTGTTGTCCAGACTGCGGTGGCGAAGTCTGGCAAAGGTGCTGTGCAGGGTGCTGTCCAGACTGCGGTGGCGAAGTCTGGCAAAGGTGCTGTGCAGGGTGCTGTGCAGGGTGCTGTGCAGGGTGCGGGATGGTAGGCAAGACAACAACTCGCACCACGGGATGCCAGTCAACTGGCTACCTCTCGCAACCAGGGCATCGAAAGATCCACGGCTAGGATCGTCTGAAGGATTGCTGTGGCTCGGCACACGGCCGTACCAAGACTTGGTTTGAAGGGCATATTCACGGTCCATGATCGAGGCGACAAGGCGTCGGGCGACAAAGGTCTCTCCGACCCCTTTCATCAAAGCAAAGCGACAAGAATCGTTGTCAGTGTAGTGAAGTACCTGTGATCCGCGCAAGAAGTGGGACCAAACATGAAAGGAGATGAGGACGGGCAACACTTCAAGTTCATGGACTGGATGCGACGAGTGTTGAAGTAGGATCTGCATCCAGTCTTCTGGCACCTGCATTCCAAAGTGTTGTAGGTAGGTCCCATTTGCTGAAACCAAAACGCCACCCACTCCTCCAAGCTTTCCTCCAGTATCACCTGTCTCACAAGCACCATCTGTAAATACAAACCATGTTTCAAGAAGCTTTGGTGAAATCACAATTGGTTCCGCTTTCTCGACTCTATTCCTTAAAGCAAGGATGAGGTCACATTCATCCTCAGTGAGGTCTTCGACAAACCTCTGAGACCTGCACAAATTCCCAAAGTTCTTCAAAAGCAAGTTTGTTGTGCGACCTGCTGCAAAACACTCGTAGAAGACCATCCGCCCTCGTAGTCTCTCCGCCATTTTGGTAGATAACTTCTTGTTTGAAAGTGTCTCTTCCAAAGCTTGGCCCAGCTCGAGCTTCCTTTCAGCTGTGTGACCCACTGCTATTTCGCCCTGCTGAGCCCTAGAAGTATCAACCTGCACTCCCAGCATCTTAAAGACTGCAGAGAAGTCCGGTGCCTTAGCGCCCTCACGGGCGTAGTCCAGACCAAGGAGGCCAAACAAGCTGTCCACCGCCCAGGCTGTGTTGTTTTGCAACTCGGGTCTAGAGAGGGTTGAGAAGTCGTCAAAGTACCCTGTCCAGGACAATTTCAAACCTGCTACACCTACAAACCAAGTGGCCAGAGAAACTCTGAGGAACCCTGCTACTGATCCGACCCCTCCGAAGGGAAGAGCATTGAGTCCACAAAGAATCGGCTTTCCCTCACTGGGATCAACTGTTGCAATTCTGATCAGATCTCTGTCTTCCGTCCTCAACCCAAACTGTTTGTATGCGGACTTCAAGTCAAAAGTCCTTCCAACGATAGGAGGGTGTTGTCCTGGCATTGCACGCTTCAGACTCCAGCACAGCATTGTACACATCTGATCCACCGCCTGCAAGACAAAACGTTCTTGTAAGCCAACTGTCTGGTTGAGGCCGCAAACTGAACAATCGTCTATCACTCTTGTCTTTCCGCCCTGATATATTCCGAACCTCCTTGCTACACATTTGCCATCCCAATCCTGGCAAGGGTCCAACCAGATCCAGCCCTTGTCCAGCTCCTTCACCGTCTCATCCCAAGTGTCCCTTTCCAGGGTCTCATCTTGTCTCATGTCCATCTGTTGCTTAACTTTGAAATTAAACGATTCCAAACTATCCAGAAGTGCCTCCACTGTCAACGTAGGCTGTCTGACACCATGCGGAAAAACTCCACTTGTAGGCATCCACCCGCTCAATGGGAAACCATGCACCATGTCATTGATAAGCTCTGTGTCGGGGTAATGCAAGTCAGTTAACATCCTTCCCCACAAAGCCAAACGTTTCCCTTTCATCAGTTTCTTTATGTGGTCGGGCATCTGATACCGCAACTTCAGTTCTTCTGCTTTCAGCTCCATCGCCAAGGCTGAGTATTTCTTAATGAAATCAACCCTTTCCTTTGCCAACAATTATAGCTACAGGGTGACCCTCCTACACAATGCGCGCGGCCTACGCATATGTAAGCATAAACATATCCGTCAAATCTATAAAACAAAATTATATGGGAGTACATGTCAAACATAAACTACATCCCATATAAACCACAAACATAAAACACGACGAACGACACGACACTCCTCTCTCCCTCACGGTCCACAAACATCAAATAAAATTGCACATGCCGACATGAGATCTCCGCTGTTCTTTTTCCGCTTGGCAGTCAAGGGGGATATAAAAACGAAACATACATCGCATACACACCACCACATGTGAATGTGTTCCACAGTCACTTTGTGACATGTTGCATTGTTCCAACATTTGGATTCTTTCACATTTCCCCCCCCCTTATTACACCGTGTTGTACATCGTTTGCAAAGGGTTGGGAAAGAGTGCACACCACGATTGGGAGGGGCAAACGCAATGAAATCAAAAGGGCACACCCGCCCACCCTCCTCACTTGAGGCGACGCGGTGATATATAAAATTCAGAAGTGATCACCAACCAAATATTGAAAAGATGATTTCACACAACATCAATAAACTGAAACAACATGTGAGACATGTACCTGCACAACCTGTGAGGTTTCACGTTTGTTTGTTTCAATTTTTTTAACAGTTCAGTATAAACAGTGTTTGGCAGCACGCGCTTGTAAAGTTTCTCAGAAACTTTTTTTTGTTTTGGAGGGCGCTCACATGGCTCGCTTTCACCCTAAGCTATAAACAGCTATTAGCAAGCTAAACGCATTCGTGAGGTGGACGGTGAAAATTGCTGGAAATTGTATCCTGTAAAAGCTGGCTTACCTGACCCATCAAATCTTTTGGATGCCCTGCCGTCAGAGCTCTTTGCACAAACTCATGAGGTTCAGAAGGAATCCCATACCTGCATAGTTCCACCACCGCTTTTTGATCCTGCTCTGGACCATCGGCACCTTTGTCAAGCCAGCTTTCCAACTCTACTTTGTCAGCCATCTCGACCCGGAAATTTTCCCAAGGTAAGAGCTGTCGAGAAACAATTTTTGACCCTTTGGGCAACTTCTTCAAAATTGACTCCGGGAAACCTGGGTTCTGAGGGTTTACCGCCAGTGTAAAATAGCGGCCAAATTCTGCAACCAACGGTTTAAGAGTGGAAGAGCGTGGCAGTGCGTCAAAAACATATCTCTGAAAATTTGTTAGGTGCTTTGCCTTGACTTGCTCATGCAGGTTTTGGTGGACTTGGCATCCATTTTCAACTGCAAGTTGTTCCACCAAGTGTACAACACGCTCACAAAACAACCAAGGGTAGGCTGCTTCTTCTGCAGTAGGGAAGGATAACCTTCCATTGACGATCCTAGGTTTCCAAGACGCATGTGAATGCCTCTTGTCACAAAACAGTTCCAACGTTTTGCCCCAAGACCTATTTGACCAAAGTCGGGTCAATTTGTCACGTTGCCCCCCATGCGCACAGTTATGGAAGTCAATCCAGAAGGTTTCGATTGCTTGTATGTACCTTTGTGCAAAGCTGGTGTCCCAATACAAACTGTTCCTTGGGTTTTCGACCAGAACCCATATCCCAAGCTTGTCGCATTCCAAAACTATGGCCGTGACTGCCTCATATAGTTGGTTAGCCAACTCAGTCTTGACCTTGTCCAAACCAGACAACATATCCTTCTGGTCAGGTTTGCCTGATGTTCGAAGGGGTTCAGGCTGTTTTTGACCAAATAGTAAAGAAGTTTTGATGGGACGCTCCCTTGCTTTGCTTGCAGTTCCACATGGAGGAGAAATAAAAACCAACGCAATACGTTTTGACTCTGATCTTAACAGTTGCAGCAATATACGCAAGTCCTGCTCTAAGGTCAAGTCGAGCACCATGATTTCAGTTCCACAACTTCTGTTTTTTGTCTTGCCTATTGCTAAGCCTCGCATGCCCTTTGCCCTCACAGTTTTTGTTAGCCGTGCACTCCCTGCACAAATTTCAACCGCAAGCAAATCCTGCAATCCCAAGCCTGAAAATGGTGTAACGCTTGTTGCGGCTCTGCTGATTGCTGTGCCGCTGGAAAATCAGCAAAAACCTGTGGCCCTTGATCTGCATTGGAATCCATCTTAGAATCACATGAATTGTCAGAATGATCCAAACGTATCCTCTTATGTGCAGATTCTGGGCCTTCACATCAGGCCTTTGTTTTCAAAGACCTGCAGGTGACTACACTGTGCCCTGGCTTGTGGCAGTTGGCACAAACATGATAGCCACGCTTGCAACGGCTGAATCCATTTTGGCTTGACGTCTCATTTGGGCAACCAGCTTTCAAATTGTAGCCCCAGCAAATTGGGCCATTGACTGTGCCCTGACTAAACTTCAGGTCAAAGTCTTTCAGCTCCTGTGGGCAACCTTTCTGTGCCCTTGTCAACTTCCGTCTTTTGTTGATCCCTGGCCCTTGCTGTGGCTTCACAGCCGGTGGAGCCTTTGGAGGCCCTGCTGTTGTTGCATTTGAAACTTTTGGCACTGAGGAGGGCACTAACAGCAAGTACATTGTCACCCTGGGATCCGTTGTCAGTGCTTTGAAGGCCTGGTTCAGGGCGGGCACATCATTTGTTGGTTTCAATGATTCCTTGTACTCCTGCGCCAAGATTGTCCACAGCTCACGGTCTGCTTTGATCACCTGTTCACTTCTGACTGAACTGTAACCTGCCGGGTAATCACGTGCCATAGCGCTCAACAAATACTGTACCCAAGCCTCATGTATATGCCAGTCCAAAAGCCTACAGTTATCAGAAGCTAATCCACGGCGTCGATACGCCCAGCCAAGCTTGAGTTCCGTGCCAACGTCTGCTGTCGTTGTCACTGGTACCTGCGCCAACTTCAAGGTTGAGTTCTCGACCTGTACCGTTGCCGAGCTGGGCTTGATATTTGCATGGATCTCATCATCTCTTTTCGACCATCGGGATGGAGCTACCCAAACGATTGCTCCACTTTCCAATATTGAGTTCACCAGATCCAGCAGCTGATGACTTGGAGCTAGTTCTCCAATCAATTTCAAACCTGAGAGCCGCGCTTGCTGCTTCTCCAACCGTGCCTGCTTTTCAGCCGCCGGCAACTTTTTGACCAAAGTACCTGGATCTGCCGAATCTGATTTGACCTGTTCATTCAGCGAAGCCACAATCAAGGTTGTTGCCTCAAAGTGCAAACGTCTCAAACTTGACACTTGTCCCAAAGTGGGGTCAGCTCCAAAAATCTTCGCTGCTAACTCATCGTATTGTCTGTCTGATGGTGCAGCTTGAGGCGTCCCAATGGTGACTGCCAAAGCTGAAAAACATCTCACCCCTTGATTCTTCAACCCTTCCAGCAAAGCCCCAGACTCATCAAAGTCTGAGCACCGTTTCTCAAACGAAGCAGTGCTATCAATCAGTGTCATGGCTTGAACGAGGTCAGAGGTTTAAACTGTTTAAACTGAGCAGCAAACGTGAATGAACTCACATGCATGAAATTTCATCGGAATGTCCACTTGAAAAAATGTGGAAACAAATTGTTTTGACATCTCCTGAACTCAAGTTCAGTCCAAGGGTCCCCACCTGATGTGCGACGTAAAATGAACTCTGTCTCAAGTTTGAAGTTTGTCTGAAAATTAAACTGGAAAATTCTTTGGCTGCGGCCTTTGGTCCACGGCAACAAGACACACTCAAATTGATGGGTCCTTCGAGACCCCTTTGCATGTTTTCTCCAAATGTTCTCAACATGCCATTTCAATTGTGTCTCAAATTTTAAATCAAAATATTCAATTGCTGTCAGCCACGTGAAACGTATGAATGACAATTAAAAAGGACTGCAACCCTTTTTTAACCTTCCGCTCGGCTCTCGCTGCATTGAATCTTCACTCAACGCCAGCTTCGCCTTTGGGTTTGGTGGCACCCACACACAATCTGCAGACCGGTGTGTCATACCGGATTGACATATTGCTCTTTGTATGGAGGGGACCAACCATCCTGTTGCACATGAAGACTCGTTTGTAGTCAGGTGGCGCTAGGTGCAGCGTCTTCAATCGGGAATGCTGCCAGAAGACATATCCCTCAGGTGGTTCTGGTGGATAGTAAAGCTTAAGCTTTTTCTGCTCCTCCTGAAACTCTTCCTGTGAACTGCTGTCACTTGAGCTGGTGCCAACTTCTTGATCACTCTCGCTCTCTGACTTTTCACTTACCAGGTCAAACGCTCTCAACTGCTCTCAGCTCCTCTCTGCCTGACGGCATGGGTTTTGCTGATCCATCAGTTGTTGCCATGCCCTGGTGAACAAAACGCCCACTCCTTGTTGAATCTGGCAAAAATCTGCCAACCCTGATATCTTCAAGTACCTTGACAAGTTTTGCCAGCGGCTCTGAAGAGGCATCCCTGGAGTAGGTGTGCACCATCTTCAATCCAGTTCCGCCTCCAGCATGGTAGCCAAGCTGCAACCTTGCCATTGGGTCAACACCATACTTGGCGCAGAAACTCAGGCACGTCACTTTGCAGCTGTGCACAGAAATCTTGCGACTCCCGTCAACCCTCTTGTCACCCGTCAACAGTTTGCGCAGCCACTGACTAGCTTCATTGGATGTCAGTGGCCTCTGTGTAGGGCATCCGTCGCTGTCAGGAGCTGGCATGATGGTATGGAAAGGGGGCAGCATAACACCAGCACTGTGTCTGCTTGCCATCCAATGTTCAGGCCAACAGTCGCTGCTCACTCCAAATGCGGGCGCCGTCAACGGCAAAAATCTGTGTTTAAGCATTTCTGCTCTCATTGTCTTATGTGAGGCCGTGTGCCCCTCCATGAACCTCAGGACATTGTGGTCGTCTCGGTCCAGCAGCACTTCAGTGCAGTGCATCAGATCTGACCAACGGGCCCTGGAGTACACTGCAAACAAGATTGCACCTGAAAAGATTCTGTCCCATGTTTCCCCAGTCAAAAGTTTTGTATGCAACATCTTCAACTCGTCTACCTTCAATGGAGACGCTTGGGAAATGACACTGGGTACATCTGCAGTTGTAGCTCCCAGGCACCTGCGGCTCTGAACAACCTGTCCAAGTTGGTCCATGGACAGCACATGCCTGCAAAAACTCAGCGCTTCCAAAAACCCTTTCAAACGTGAAGGCGGTGCACCCTGTTTCCTCTCTGCAGTGAAAAACTGGTAAACTGAGGGCTCATCAGGTGGGAAGTTTCCAAAACCAAAATGGCTGCACATCTTCTCCACTGACCTTACCCTTTTCAATAGGGTTGCTGGTGCACGTCCCCTGAAGATGTCTGCAAGCAAAGTCAGTTTTCCAAGCTCCGTCAACTCACAATCAAGCTGCGTCCTGATGACTGTTCTTGCATTGAAATAAGATGAAGCGACCAACCAACGTTTCAAACTACTTTGCAAAAGTGATTCTCTCTCTTCCTGCCAAGTCTGGTCGGTCTTGTTGATCACAATATCCTCATGTGTGAAATTTCCAGCTGAAACCTTTAAGCTCTTGGCTCTCCTGGTGCTTGGACTTGTCGCAGCATCCCGGGACGAAGTGTCACAAGGCAATGGGAGTCTCTTCAATCCAATTGAAGTCCAACCACTCTTCAAAAATACTCCGTCCCCAAAAATGTCAGCCCAGACACCTTGTTCCCAAATCGGTTTCGGGGGTTCCACAGGTATCATTGAATAAGCTGCATCAACACAAGCATCAATGTTTGAAACCACAGGATCGTTTGCCACCTGTTTGTCAAAAAATGAAGCATGTCTCCATGAAATTTCTGACGCTTCATAGTCACAGCTTTCAGCAGGCAAATCTGGGCCGCATGCCATGTCAAATCCCTTGGTACCTGTTACATCTTCTCCTATACTATAACCAAAGTCTGTAACATACTGCACCTGCCACATCCGCAACGTGTTACGCAAATATCGCCGTAAATACGTCGAGAAACAAACGTCAAACCACGTCAAACCAAGCATCGTAAACCTCACTCAACAAAAACATAACAAACCAAACATAAAAGTTCAAAAGGCACAACTGCATGGACATGTCATGCAAACAATGAACATGCTGAGTGAACGGATCAGTTGGACGAGCATTCTTGTCCCGCAATTGTTTTGCGATTGGTCAGGGGACAAGATCTGTTTTTCTTGCGGTGACGAAAAGGGGATTTCTGACATCGGTTGAAGCAAAGTCCATTCTGGCAGCACTTCCGTATTTCAAATTAGAACAATGATTGGAACTGTTTTCCAGCTGGACTGTTTCTCCAACCCCCCCTCCCTGTTATAAGGATGTTGGGTGGGAAAACGAAGTTTGGGTGGGACTGAAAAATGTCCATGGCAAAGTTTCAGACGATCCCGCCCACCACTCCCTTAAGCAAGGATGGCCACACAAGATATAAAATTCATAACTAATTCAAATGGTATGATTTCTATGTACAAACAAATTCACATGAAATCACCACAAGGTTTGTTTGATTGTTTTGGTGGGTTGAGTGCAGACGAGGGTTTGGTTTGAACGATGTTTAACGACGCAGTTTGGCGAGAGCAGGTTTGGCGTTGACACGTACGAGCGAAATCTTATAGGCGCAGTGTTAAGTTACAGACCGGTCTAGTTAAACTAGACCTGTTTGGTAAGTTAGAGAGAAAGTATTGTCAGCAAGCTGAAATATCCTTCTCCTATACTATAACCAAAGTCTGTAACATACTGCACCTGCCACATCCGCAACGTGTTACGCAAATATCGCCGTAAATACGTCGAGAAACAAACGTCAAACCACGTCAAACCAAGCATCGTAAACCTCACTCAACAAAAACATAACAAACCAAACATAAAAGTTCAAAAGGCACAACTGCATGGACATGTCATGCAAACAATGAACATGCTGAGTGAACGGATCAGTTGGACGAGCATTCTTTTCCCGCAATTGTTTTGCGATTGGTCAGGGGACAAGATCTGTTTTTCTTGCGGTGACCAAAAGGGGATTTCTGACATCGGTTGAAGCAAAGTCCATTCTGGCAGCACTTCCATATTTCAAATTAGAACAATGATTGGAACTGTTTTCCAGCTGGACTGTTTCTCCAACCCCCTTCAATCACAGGACAGCTATGCTAAACGCCCAAGAAGTTCGTTGGGGTGTTCAAAGTCTGTGATGGTATCGATACCTAACAGCTCTAACGCTTCACTAGAGTCGTTTCTGCTAGGTCCGTCCGCCACGTTTGAAAGGCTTGAGGAAGGTGTCGGAGCCTTGGGATTCTAACTTGGGCAGTTTGACCACGTCGTCCCAGTTCTTGAGAAGTTGCTTCCTGTCACAGAGTACGTCAAGTGACCCCCCCAGGGTCGACTTGCCCGGGGATGCCGCTTCCCCATACCGTCCTGGTGAGTGCTCAACAGCAGACTTGGCATGCCTGACGCACTAGTAAATCCGCACGGCTACGAATTTCTCTTGTGCCTCAGTGATATGAGCATTGCCGGCAAAATCCAGCTCTGCTGCGGTCTCTGCTGTGTCCCAGCGGTCTGCCAGGTCTTCCATTGTGACGTACCCATCTTGGGCTAGCTTTGCCATGACCTGCCATGGGATACTCTTATGAGTGAGTAAGGTCCGGACTGATTGGTGGAGTTTCTCCACATCCTCCGCAAGGTCCGCTGGTATGTCTGCCGGGGGCGGGGGGAGGACCAGCGCCATAGGGAGTGGAGGGTGGGTTCAAATCTTTAGAGATCTGATGGTTCAAACTTGAGCCAAAATGGCCAAGCCATTTTGGCAAGTGTTCCCGTAACAATCGAAAATGGCAAGCTACTAAGGTTCCAACGAGAAGCTAAGAGCAAGGCACACCATCTCCCTTTTTACACAATGCTAAGATGGTGCCTGTGCGGCTGCTGCTTTATGTCTGTGACCTATGTCACCAGTGGTCTGTTAGACCACCTGCCACAACTTGGCAGAGAAATCAGTGGTGGTGTCATCAAAAACAACCCAAACCAACGGATGACTGACACCACCACACCCAAACCGAAGGATGGCAGGAAGACGTTGTCCCCCCTGACAAACCCCCTCCCATTCACCCTAACCGCACACAGCTGGTTCAGGTCGCAGGGAGAAGGATTTGTTGTTGGCTAAGGGCCGCACCATTGGTCTTTTCCATATCTGGCTCAGTGTCCACTGAGTCCAGTGTGTCTGAGCCCGAGCTCAGGCTAGACAATGACCCTTCTGAGAGGGCGCCCTGGGTCTGGATGACCTCGGCGTGCCACTCCTTTGGGTATGAGTATCGCTTGAAGCACCTGTTGCACTGGGCGTAAGAGTCAAGTTCGTTGATGAAGTCTTCAGGTGACAGGTCCAGTGCCTTCGTTGATGGTGGTTCCCAACTGGAGTCAAGTCTAAAACGTCCTTCCCGAATGGCAAAAAGAACTTTCTCGAGTTCTAACAGTGGTTGGGCAGCTGCATCACGGCTGTAAGTGTGGAGCATCTTGAAGCCACCAACATGATACGCCAACTGAAGTCTTGTCTCAGCATCAACTCCAAACTTTGCTGCATAAGAAAGCGTGGTTGCTTTCATGCTGTGAGCCGACACCCTCTTGTGAACCAACTGGTCTTTGTTTCCAAACAACACTTTTCTAAGGCAGGCGCCAGCCTCGGTTGCAGACAACGGCCTCTGAGTCGGCTGTCCCTCACTGGACGGTGCCGGCATCATGGCATGGTCGGGTGGCAGTGAAATTCCCAAAGACCTTCGCACTTCCAACCACCTGTCAGCCCAAGGGGTATGCACGACGCCTAAGGCTGGTGCGACAAGCGGCAACATTCTATGCCTGTACATTGAGGCATGCATTGTTTTGTGCACTGCTGACTCAGCTTCCACGTACCTAGTTCTGCCTGCTTCGTCCTTGTCTTGCAACAGGCTGCAACTATGCATCGCATCAGCCCAACGAGCCCTTGAGTAAACCACGAACAAAACTGCACCTGCAAAAACTACATTCCAATCGCACTGTTCATGCAAAACTTCATGCAGCCTGGTCAGCTCTTCCACAGTTAATGGGGCAGCCTGGACGACACAGGAGGGCACAGCAGGAATTGTACAGCCATGCAGTCTTTTACTGGCCACTACATCTCTCAACTCTGACATTGAAAAGACATGAAGGCAAAAGGCCAGCGCTTCAAGGTAACTCTTCAACCTTGACGGGGGCGCACTCTTCGCTCGCTCTGCTTGGAAAAACTGATAGACCTTTTGTTCACTGGTTCCCAAGGGGAAATTGGATGGTTTCAGATCAAACACATTGTATCGGCTCTCCCAGAAATGGACGAGCGTCCAATTAGTACCAGACGTAAGATCACCTTGAACGGTTGGGAGAGGGAAGAAGAGGAGGAAGAAAGAAAGGTACCGACCACCAGGGAACAGTTGAAAAGGGCACACTTGGTCTTCAGGAACACATTGCTGATGTGCCTCTCGTCCTTCCCCCAATTCACACAGTTCAATGTCCAGTTCCAAGACTTGGAGGACTGGTATTGTTTCTTCTGGGGAAAAGACATTGCAGATCGCAAGCCACCTCCCAGCGAGACAGTGTTACTGTATGCTGAGAGAAACGCTTGGCGCGAGATCCACAACAGGATCCCTCAAAGAGGCCATGGCAGCCCAGAAGGCTGACACTCTCTTCTGGCAGAGAGGTGTGTATGAGAGACTCCAAAAACCACAAGACCGAAGACCGAACACACAAAGGGCAAGGGCAAAACCAAGCCGGCATGGTCACCGGCACAGAACCAATGGTCCAAGGGCAAACCGTCCCAGAAAGGTAAGTCCTGGAAGCGCACTTCAAAGGGGAAAGACGCCAATTGGCCCAAGAACTGGGCCACAGCCACCCCGAGGGGGCTGCAGTACTGCAAAGACCATCTCCTTCGTAACAAGTGCCCTGGAAACTGTGGCAGATCACATGGATGCCCTGTAATCAAGGATGGCTGGACCTGTAACGGAAACCATCCACCGGACCAATGCCCTAATAAGTGAGAGGGAGGAAAGCCCCAGCCGGTGGCGGGGAGTCCCCCAATCTCACAGATAGGGCGGAAGGTATTGTCCTGGAGGGGGGCTGGTCTGTCAGGGCCTGTGTGCCCACACAGACCGCGCAACACAAGCGGGAGGCTGTCTCCGCGCCACACCAGGACCACCCTGGGAAGCGGTCCAGACCCCTGACCCAATCACCACACCACACCCCCCCGGGGGAATTGCTGAACACACACCTCTCAAGTCACCCCCATGTGACCACAGCGAATGAAGAGTCGGGCTCTTACTCGTCTTTGACTGCTGAGGTTACACCCCAATCGGTCCTGACCTTACTTTGTCCATGGACTAGGAAATCCCAACACACCTCAGACAAAGGCTATACTGGAGTCCAACACCCCTCCCGGAAGGAGAGATCCATGACCCCACAGCACTCATTCTGTACGCCGGGGATGACGATCCCACCTCATTGCACCAAGCTATGTTGCAAGAATCCCAACACTGGCCGGTCCAGATCTTGGAGATTTGACAACAAACGTCCTGGCAAGGCAATCGAGCATGACATGCTCAGAGAGGAACCATACGGCAGACTTTGCCGAGCAGCCATGCAGGGCAAGCTCAGGGCCCTACTGGGCGGCCCCAACTGCCGCACATGGTGGTTCCCCAAGCCAGGCGCTCCTCAACCAGTCCGAAGGCGGCACCCGGACATGACCTGGGGACTTCCAGGAATACGACTCCGGTTGACCTACATGATCTTCCCACAGGCGGACTGGGGCTTTGTCTTTGTGGAATGAGATCACTGTGCAGCTATGCCGCCTCTGTAATGATCTTGTAGAAAAAGCGCCGTGCACAGATCTGCGGTCAGATCCAACGCTTCTTCAAAATTCCTACAGAACTACGCAGGCGGACGCGTACGTCAACCACGCACACCAAACACAGGCGCAGAGCGTAAATTCCCAAACCTAATTAAACTAAAGCAATACCGTGTCAAAATGAATGTTTCACCCTCGACTCCCACATGCTGACGTCAAGCTCCTTCTTTTCGCTCCAGACGCAACACGATCAGTCACGGGGAAACACAAACACAACAAACAAACAAAACAGAAACAAACCAAAGGAAAAGAAACAGAGATGTGTTCGTGTTCCCTGTGTCGGTTTGTCTTATGTCAAGTTATGTGACACAGCAGCTCTTGTTCATTAAATGAACTTCTGACACCAGTCCTTCGAGCCGATGTCTCAACTGGTAAACTCGATTCCAGGTTTCCAGTTAACAAACCTCAAGTTCTTCAAATAAAGGTTTGTTGAAACTATTCTAGCTGCTACAAATCTACAAAACTCACTTTCACTAGATGAATTCAAAATCATCGAAACACTTCCAAAAGTTCTCAGAGCAAACTGGTTCTCATCCAAACGTCAATAACCAGCTCATTAGTCACAAGCTGACTAACTTCTCAAGAACGAAGTGATTCACACAAGGTGTCTGTACAACCTTCTTCTGGATACATAACATAGTCAGAACACAAAGTTCTTTCTCCAAATCAGTTTTCCACATAGAGATAGCATCTCACAGCTTCCAACCTCAATGTAGAATAGAATGTTCTGTTTGACATTGTCAATGTAGGTCAGCCAAATACAGTTGTATCGCTGAAGTCTTTCGACCACTGTAATAGCCAATCCACAATGTAGACCAAAGTCTTCTCCAAACAATGTCGTCCTCATAGAGATAACCAGAGTCATCTCAGGAACGATAAAATGCACACCATAAGATCAAGTATATGATCCATAGGTCACGATGACGATGATGTAGGTATTGTCCTCACAATACCGAAACATCTCATCACAAAACTCTCAGACAAATAAGATGCCCAAATATGGCCATTGTCTTCACAATACCAATGCATCCCATAGTCCAAACTCAAAGCATAGTAGGTTCTCTCCATCAGATATTTCCAGCTAGCTTAAACTCTTCTCCAAGAGTTTCTAACTGTGTTCTCATCACTTGGAGAGAATAGATTTCTAAGTGTTCAGTGTCCATGACACAAGAAATAATCTCAATGTCAAACCAATGTAGGTACCTTCAGTTCAAGCATTGAGCTGTACCAGACTCAAGTCGAATCCAGAATAAGATGTAGAACTGATCAATATACCACAATCACTGGTCAACACTGATCAATGACATCATCCTGATGTCAGAAATGATACGTCCGAAGACCAATAGAATATTGTGACACAGGATGATCACATACAAGATTCCTTCCGCAATAAGTAGAGTGTTCTCTACCAATCTTCCATGACGCGATGAACTCTTGTAGTAGCCTTCCACGTATCTTCTGTGCACAAACTATACAACCAATGATGAATGACATGTCGCTTCACCCTTACCCAAAGGGTGCTCTCACACAGGGTGTCAAATTTCCATACCCCCTTTCGACATGACATCTCATTCACTCACATCACTGCCAGGTACGGATACCAATCGAATATCCGCAGAAAAATGTTCACGTTCCAGATCATATCCATGATCAAAAGATATCCAAAGAAGCACACGTCTTCCAAAACACAAGGTAGATGGTAAAGCATCATCCAAAACTCATCTCGTTCAACTCATGCATAATGTCGTAGCTTCCACATTCAAAATCTCCTCTGTTGCGAAAACCAGATGTAAGAATACCAGACTCAGTCCAAAGACTCCTAAAGTCTTTCCAGTACTAAACTCGTCTTCCAAAATCCAGTTCCTCGGATAAACCATGGCGTCGATAACGATATATCTACAGTGCTGTTGTCTTCCTACAACACACAAAACAACAACAGGACAAAACAAAACAAAAACAAAAACAAACACACACACACACGAGACCCAAGACGAAACCTAACGTCGCACAATCGGAGTCAACGCAAAAACGAAGGCCAACTGTTTCAGCTAATCCGCACCTTCGTGTAGAAGGTAAGCGTATGAGAAGAAAACGCAAGTGAAATGATATCACGCATGCAACTCATCTCAAATTCAAAGCAAGTGAAGTACAGTTCGCAGTCACTGCACAACAAATTCAAAATGTTCTGAACGAAAATCTCTCACAGTCAGGGTCAGGACTAGCTAAGATTGGCACGGAATGAGGAAGCGGTGAGAGACATTTTGACAAAACATCTCTCACAGTTTCATCATCGCATAGATCGCCGTCCCCCTTTCAACGTCTGATCCATCCTAAAGATCTCGGAGGTGTGGTATGTCTTGTTTGAATCCATATCATGACATGAGGGTGCAATATGTCTGCAATCATGGCATCAGATTCCCCGGAAGATTTTTCCGATTACTTAAACTCAGATTCCGTCTGAGTTTCTTCCCAGGTTCTCATCATATGCCATGACAACATAATTATACCAAATGTTTGTGAAAACACTCACAACATCAAGCTCCATGTTTCAAGCAACAAAACTCAAGATATGCACACAACGACTCAAACATGAGAAATACCGCAATCAAGCCAATCAAGAACAACTTCTACTTTTCTTCATGATGTCTCCCTCAGATCTGTCAGCAACTCCAAGTTCTGAATGCCTTCAAGAACGTTGCTCTCGCCATCGTCATTGAGAGACATATGACAACAAAACGAACCTTAAACAGATAACAAAGTATCATACAGACAAAATTGTGTCTACTGCGTCAATCGGCGTGTCTCGCCCCCTTTTAAACTCAAGCTTGGTAC